GGGAGTAATTTGTTGATCAATTGAGCTGCTGTCAAAATAACTTACCCCCTACAAGTGCTTTGGGACATTCATTAAGATCATCATGCTTAGGGCTACCTATAGAAGATGTTTATTCTTCTTCTGTGCTACTCTTTTTTATATCGGTGTGTATTAACATGTGGTTTGATGCTGCATCCCATGAGCTGAAAATTACTCTCGAAACGTCCTGTTGGTATACTCTGTCTCATTATCAGATCTCAAAATATTCACTACTGCACCGTTTTGAGTTTGAATCACCTTGTGAAATTCTTTGAAGCAGACAAACACATCACTTTTGTTTCTCATCAAATATAACTAAATAACACCGAAAAACAATTAATAAAATTCACCAAATATCTAATCATTCATCTGAATGCACCAAATAAAAAATATAAAAACTCTTATCACCAAAACTAACATAAGAGCTAGTATACTTACTGAACTCACAAGTATTACAGACAAGTTTTTATTTATTTGCCTTTTCATATAAAGATGGATACAAATGACTCAATAAACTAAACGAGAGTCTCCCATACGCCTATGATGTATCGGCAACACATCCTCCACACTCCTCACAAATCCTTTTATGCCAACACTTTCTACCATAGATAACAAGGCTGAGTCCATCCCCTCTCTATTTAAATACTAGAGTCCAGTGTGTCATGAGTCACTCCGAAGACTTTGGTCAGTCCCATTCTCTTGAAAGATCACCTTAGAAATATCAAGTGAAACAACACATTTTAATTGGAGTATAATGACATTAATGGATAAAAGGTTCACTAGAAAGGAGGGAGCATGCAAAACATTAAACGTAGTTAGTCATAGAATTGATATACCTCACTGTACCATTACCAATCACATGTTGTGTTGTACCATCAACGGTCTGAATGCTCTCTGAAACTGTTAGTTGAGTATAGGAAGAGAATTCACTAGCGGCACCTGTCGCATATCGAGAAACACTAGAATCTAGAATTCATTCTGATGTGGTGGATATAGATACAAGAGCATGTGTATCACATGTACCTTTGGCTGAGTGAGTAAATTAGCAGTGTTCCCTTGGATGATGATAAAGTAGATGCATCCTCAGTCCCAAAGCATGACGAAAATGAGGTAAATCGCTACACAAGGTTCGGTAAAATTTATTTTGCTAACATCGGCCAACACAGGTATACAAAAAATGTCATTTTTCGTTGTTGTAAAGCGCAAATGCCGCCCAACAGTCCATGATGTCACGTTTAATGTAGTTTTTCCGAATCCTCAAACATAGCCTATATCTCGTATTTACAAATAGGACCCTAAACTATATACAATTCTTAACAAGAACAATTTAATGTTTATATTATTTTTTGAAATTTTCTAGAGAAGTTAAATAATAAATATAATATGCTTCAATAAAAATTTACTCTACAACTTTAAATCCTGTTTCTAACCGTTTTTTATTAAAATAAATGACACTTTTTAAAACCATTCATAAATTCTGTAAATGTATAAATACAGCGAAAGATATCACAGAAATAACGACCTGGGCCTCTTCTTTGAAGGATTTTACTTCCCCTTAAAATTGTTAGTTAACATTTATGATTTTCTTATAGAATTTAGCATCTAATAAGCACACATGATTGAAAGAAATTTAAAAAAATTATTATGATAACAACTATTTTTGTTAATGCCACGGATATCCTTATATAATTAAAGAGATTAGTAATCTGATATGACAAAGGTAAGTTATGAATAGTGATGGACATCGATAAACTCAAAATTAGATTACAATCAGTCCATGAGTTAGTGAGCCAAAATCAATTGTCGGTAGAAAAATCTCGCTTGCGATTAGGATCTGGAAGCAAAGGAATCACGTGCCTCTTGCGTGATAATGGGGTTCGCAAACAAGTTACTTGTAGATGGGAGTGGCCACATTTTTTCATGTGTGAAGCAGGTTCATGAACAAACCAATATATATCTGGATGAACTGAAGAAAATTAATAATTTGGTGGCTGAATAGAGCTAAATTGAGAACACTATTTACAACGCAATTTAAAGCTTAATTACATCTATCATAGAGCCAAAACACTAAACTAATGGTTGAGTAAAGTAGGAGTCAATTCAATCCAGAGATTAGAGTTGAATTAACTAATGAAACCAATATAATATTAGAGAATGCAACTCATTCTTTATAGGATTTATCATCATGTCATTCTTAAATAAATGCCTTAAAATTTAGAAACATGGACTACGATATAAAAAATTATAGAATAAATAGCTACAATAAAAAGACTGTTTAGCTTGCTCTGTAAAAAGATTTACATTTTCAATAAGTATAGACTGAGATCTCCATCATAATTGTTTTCAGATAGATTAATAATGAGTTCGACCCTAAGAAGAGGAATTGATTAGAAGGGGCTAGCCTTCATATAATAGTTTGTCATTTGTTTGCTTTAAGGCCAATTCTAAAAGACGATTCACTCTGCTACTTGGGATATGATGAAGAGATATGAAAACTTGATTGTGGTTAGAACAAGAACTTTTATACAAAAATAATATAAATGATAGTAGGGAGCAAAGAAGAATAAATATTATTTTTTTTTTCATAATAAGAGTTTAATTATTATTACATTTGATAAAACGAAACACTACGTAAAAAGTAAGAAAACCAAATAACAAGTGTACAAGCAATACTACATAAACCCCATAAGAAATACAAATCATCTAGTACATAACTTGAAAAATATCGAAATAAAATCTACATTTGGAAAGTTTGCTTCTATAAGGATGGTTCAGCAAACACATTCAGAGAATTTTTATGAAAAGAATTATCATAAGGGAGTTTGACGAATCAAACTCAAAAAATTTAACTATTTATGTTTAAACAGTTAACTGTATGAACCAATGATAACTCAATACGATCTAAACTTTTGTTTTGAAGAATAAATAGTACGCAATAGTCAAATTAATTTAATGCTAAAAGAAACTTCTTTCACTTCATTGAACATAAAAATAAAATTATATGGTCACAGAGGACGAAGGAGGAGATGCCGATAAAGAGAGGGAATACACAGATAAGGGAATGAGAAGGTAAGGATTCACTGGATTTTGTTTAATCAAGGATTGGCGATTGTTATCAAGAGAGGAAAAATGGTGAAAGAGGTTCTTTGTCCTCATATAGGTGGAAAGTAAAAGGAACAAGTTGGGGGGGGGGGGGGGGG